GTTCGGAATTGCGTGAATCTTAGGTAATGCGTGGTGGGTCTTCAGAGCTCTCAACTTAAACTCGAACTCACTGAAACTGGAAACTCTGGAAAAAACTCGAAAACTGATTTTCGCTCGCTGCGATTTTGCTTATATGGACGCCGACCCAAAACGGGGTTGGCTCGTCGGGGTTTGAGGTTCCTTGATAATTCTAAATCCGCAGTCCACTTCTTTGTTTTCGGTCAGGAAATTTCCACTCCTTTCCATTTTTGGAAGTCTTCTCCTACTCCCACCTTCTTCTGTTCTCATATGGGTATCTCACCATACCCTCAGAGGGCGTCAACGGTTTTCCCTCTCTCGCAGTGACATCTCATACCTATACCCTCAATGGGTGGTCGCAGGTCTCCCCTCCCCTGCAACACATGATCACCTCCGCCTGGCTCTCGTTAACATTCAGCCGTTTTCAAAAAAAAATCTTGCTTGAAGAAAAAAAATTATCTTTTCTTTTTCCTTCTTTCTTTCGTAGTGTGGTCCCTTAATCGCAGCTCTTATCCTTAATGTCACCTGGTACCTATCACTGAGATTTTCGCCAATTATCAATTGGGTGGTCATCTAGCGAAACACAGCCAACTTTTCGTCCCGATAAGGTAGTTTCGCTATCCTAGCCGTATTTGCATTCTTGGTGCCAGTTTCTGATAAAATAGTTTCGCTGTCATAGTCAAATTCCAACACAACCCATATGACTTGTCCAACGACACCCTCCCATCGACAAAGACTTAACCTATGGTTGGGTTTTCACAACTCGTGTGTGGTCAACGGACGACCTATTAATTTTTTATCTCTTTAGAATTCTGTGGAAGCCCCAAATGGCATTCTCGTGACACAGTTAAATGTTTATCTATTTAGAATTCTGTCTCTGAGGTTATTTGGCCAACCTGGAATTCGTCAATTAGATTTTCGCCATCACCAAGCGGTTGGCCCGTTAGACGCTTTCACATTCTGGCGTTATCTATTCCCGATAATATAAGTTTGCCACCATGACACAGTTAATTTTTATCTATTTAGAATTCTCGACAATGGCAATAAAAATTTTCACAATTTTTCCTTGTCAAAATAACACCGCTTAATGTCCCTTTCGTGATGGCTTTCCTTTATCATCTAAATTTAACTCTCGCTTTTCTTTTCTTTTTTTTCTCCTTTTTCTTTTCTCCTTCTAGCAACCCTAAATGGTGTCACAATATTAGTCTGAATATAAATATGTTCCTCATTTTGTTATTACTACATTTCAACTGTAGTACCTTTTGGCCTTCTTGGTGTTTATATCAATCTACAGAGAATTCTGAACTGAACCCTTTATTTAATCTACGCTGTGTGTGTGTGTGTGTGGAGGGGTTAGACTGTTCTTGTCCCACTGCTCCTGGTCTAGGGGTATCTCAAGTTATTCTTATTTTTATTTCGTACTGTTATTTCAGTTTAGAATTCCCAAGATTGAAATATACTCGAGGAAGGCCGAAGTGCACAACAGCCGAGATGTGATAATAACAACAAAGATGAGGACAATAGTCATATATAAATACTGTAAATAAATTATGAAATTGTAAGACAGTTGTACCTTAAATGATCCTAGCATAAAAATTAAAAAAAGAATTTAAAAGTGCTAACTTCCTTTGAGAAGATACAATGGAGTAATTAGACGTAAGTCTTATCTCTTTTTATTACACGAAAAGTGGTGGTACCACAGTGGAGTATAATGGTTAGCAGCTTGGATCAAGTAATCAGAGAACAGTTTGAATTCCAATCCATTACACTGACTTATGTGCTAATACCCTCAAGAAAGCTATGAATCCATCTCTTATCTCCCCAGCTATGGTCAAAATAGGACAGTCAATAAGGTAACTTCAAAAACAAATTCACCTTGCAGAGAAGAGACATTTCTGGTGCAAAAAGATCCAGCAAACCAGTGCTCTATTCTGCCTTGAATGTCACCATGAAGAGGGGGGGGACCACAGCAGCACAAAAATGCCCTATTTCAACTAACATTCAGACTGACCAAAAGCTGATTAGGGTGGCCAGTTCTTTACTGTCCTCCTCTATTAATTCATAGCCCTGCCTGCTGGGGCTTCAGAATACTCCAACTGCACCTCTGCAGAGGGGTAAACCCCCGCTCCCAATGAGGTGTCCTGGGTAAGACAATAAACTACATCCAACAGCAAGGCATCTGATGGGAAGGTTTTGAGTAGCAGAGAGTGATCTTTTAATTGATGGTGTTCCCAGGTCCAGCCTGATCCGGAACGGTAGCACCTGTTAGGGTCCTAGCTATGGGCAAATAGTTAACCCCCAAACTGGAGTCAAAACATTATGAAAGTGTAAAAATAGGTTTTAATACCATCAATAGATTTTTGTAAAAAAATTATTACCAGCAATGAATTTTTTAAGAAAATTAAATAATCCATTCATATATCGTAAAACAAACCAAACTAGAATTCATATATCACAACAGCCATGAAAATTTCAGTTTTTCTTATTCAAATTTTCTGATGAATCTTAATTTTCATTTTAATGAATAAGCTCCTTGAGAGTTCCATGATTCTAAGATACCTGTGGAATTTCCCTTAGCGTATCAACTGGAAAGGTTTTTCCAGTTGATATGGTAAGCCGCACTATGTTTGAAATGAGGGAGCAAGCTTGTGCATGTTCTCCTTGTAGTGGTGACTATCTCAGCAATGTAATATTCAAATCTTAGATAATATGTTGAACTCTTGTATGTGAGTTCTGCAATAAATATATTTTGTACGCTACATCATTTTTTTTTTTTTTAACAATCCAAGAAACTTGCATTTAAAATGTTCCCCATCTTTATGGGATACCCTGTATTTGAACATACCAACATTAACAAAATGTTGCAACAACAATCATAAGTACGAATGTAGGTCATTACTTAAAGAATTAAGAGGGTACAAATGAAATGATTTGATACGATTTTCCATTTCACTGGAGAAGATGCTAGATGTATCATTATCTTTTTTTTTTTCTCTTTCCTTCCTTTCTCACATCCATTTCATTAAAGCTGAGAATTAAAGGCATGAAAGTGTTAATCCCTTACCTATTTTCTTTCATGCACACTTTCTTTTCCTCACTAAAAACAAATGGAATCTCTAATGTATCTTTTTCTTCCATCTTGCCTTGCAATCAAAATGGAATGGTTCATTATTTATCTGGAGAATTGTAACACATGCCAACTTACTCATTAACAGTGGATCAGAATCCTTAAGATTCTTGGATTACAGTTCAAAACTGACCACTGCTTCCTGCTAATACCACAAAAGAATTCTGGCAAACTTGGACATTCGTGCCTGTATTAAAAAAAAAAAAAAAACAGTTTTTTCCCTTGACACCACTGTTATTTTAACTACCTTCACTCCTCAATGTTTCTTTTAAAAACCAATGGTTAGGATATGATTAAACATATGAAAATGAATTTATACATTTTTTTCTTCTTGAGGATTGACAACAAAAATAATAAACACTATTTATTAATTTTTTTACTTATCGAAATGTTTGGCAAAATATTTGGCTAATTGCCAATTGTATCAAGCTTTATAAAATGTTCAATAAAAATATTCTTATAGTTGCTTCGTGTATTTTAATAATTTAAATGTTTAAAAATTTATGAATAAAAAAAATTGTTATATTTTTTCTTTATAAATTCGCTAATGATAAATATTGCACTAGTTTTAATTGTATTCATTTTTAGAATGTCGTAATATAAAATTATTGCAGTTAAACAATCTCGTAAATAGTGTTTAATATTTTTGTTGTAAAGTCTCCAGAACAAAACAAAACATAAATTCATTTTTATCATACATCTTGGTTTAATTTCAATTCTACTCAAGGACATTTTCAATATGGTGCAATGATTAGCAAGTTTGTCTTGCTAAATCAATTCCAACCGAGTAACGAGTTCAATCCACCCAGCTCCATACTTTCAGTCATGTGCCACATGTAAACTACATTTAGTAAATTGCTATTACAATTCTAACCATCACTTTTTAAAACAATAAACTAGAGAGAGAAGGTAGTTAAAATAATAGCAGTGTTAAGTTTTTTTTAAAAAAAAAAAAAAAAAAAGGTGTTTCTTTTTGTTGAAAAGGAATCTAAGTTACAATTTCATTTTTGATCAAGTGGATTAAGAATCAGAAAGAAATTTTATAATCAGGAAAATGCAACCAACAAAAAAAAAAAAGAGAAAAAAAAAAAAAAAAAAAAAAAAAAAGAGAAAAAAAAAAGAGAAAAAAAAAAAAAAAAAAAAAAACTTATTTTTATTGGAATTTTTTATCCTTTTTTTTATTTTTTTTCTTTTGTTCACTCATTCCTGAGAGAAAGTAGATTTTGGTAAAACAGAACTTTGTTTTTTGTTTTTTTATTGGAGGTGGGGCATAATTTTTATGGTGAGGGGTATAATTTTTTTTTTTCTGAATGCAGTTTTTTATTTTGGTTTTCATCATCTTATCATTTCTGTCATTAATCCTGACAAGAGGTATGCAATTTTTTTTATTTTATTTTACAATTTGAAATTGAAATGAAAATTTTCCATTTTATTTATTTTTAAAAGAAAAAACGAAAAATAAAAAAAAAATTTTTCGGTTTCTTTTACTTTTCAAAAGAGAAATTTTCAGTGTGTGTGTGTAAAATGTATTCACTTCTTTCAATATTTTTTTTTTTTTGCAGTGTAAGTGAAGAATTGTCTTGTTTTCATTTTTTTTTTTTTTACTCTGTTTTTTTTTTATTGTTTTTTATTTCCTTCTCCCAATTTCATTTTTTTTTCCACAATCCCCCTCCCCCCATCCCACTTCATGATCAAAATACAAATAATTTATTTTTCTTTTGCAGCGTGTTTAACTATCATATCTCATCAACCATTTCAGATTCTCTCTCTTTCTTTTTTTTTTTATAAAGTAGTCCATCAAAACTGACCACTGGATCCATGGGCGTGTCAGTCAGAGGCTACAGGGGATTCAACATCACACACTCGGCACCCGGCCTGTGAGGACATGCTGTACTTTGCGTCCCCGGGACTTTTTCTTTTTGGGACGTGGCTTGTGCCGACAATATTGATTGATAAAAAACAATAACACAAGTAACGTTGCAACAAGAGCAAAAAGAGGCAGAAAGCCAAGGCCGTCGTAAGATGAGGGAAAGTCTATTCTGTGGGTCTCAATCACTGGGACGGCCTTATCAGCAATCTTCATGGGAAGATGAGGGATGTTGTGCCAGCCTGGTGGAGGTACAGGGGGGTTAATATCTATTGACAGCAGCTTCTGATGCTGGAAAAGATTTCTGAAATAATAATAAAAAAAAAAAAAAAAAAAAAAATGAAAATATGCTCATCAGTTTGCACTCAAGACATTCTGACAAAATTAACAAATCTTTACATCAATAAGTCCGTAGCCTAATAATGAAAAAAAAAAAAAAAATCAACTATTTTTCATTACAAATAATTTTTCAACAGAATATCATTTGTCAATGCACTTAATTCAGTGTTGAATATTTAGGTACAGCTGTGGCACCATGCATAATTAGGAAACTGAAAAGAGATATTCATAAATATATGATTTATTTTTTTCGGTTTGTTAACCATTTGATAGTTATTTAGAGATGAAAAATATTTTGGAGTTGAGAATAATTCTCTAATTGCGTTTAGGCGATCTGAGGGAAAGAAAGATAGGAGGAGGAAGAAAAAAGAAAGAGAAATAGATGGTACAAAACCCGGTCATAAGCACACACGCTCAGCTGACACATAACAGGTGTCAAAAGATATCTAGGTCAAAGTACCTGACCAAATCCACGAAAAAATGGAAGTTTGTTATATTTGGTTGAAGAAATAGAGTTTAGAGACGATGAAAAATAAAAAGAAAAAGAAAGAAAAAAAATATAATACGAAACCAGGTCGTATTAAAAAAAAACACACGCTCGACTGGCACATATCAGATGTCAAAAATATCAGGTCAAGCACCGACCTACTTTCGTGTCCATGGAGGATGGGAGTTTGTTATCAATTTGGCTGAAGAATAAAATTTTAGGGGCAATGAAAAAAGTATTGATAAGTAACAAATGAAAAGGATGTCATTGAGATGATAGGTAACGCATGGGAAACTGTATCTAAGGATATGAAAACAAAACATTAATACACGAAAGCCAGATAATTCTAAAGTTGAAAAAAACCACCCAAGGTGAAAATGTTTTTTGAGATAATTAAGATTTTTGTTAACAGGCTCCCCGGAAAAAAAAGGTGAAATATTTGTATTAGTCATGAGAACGCCACGCAGTCTAGGAGAATTCCTTTCTTAGATCGCATCCAATTAGCGATATAGGCTGTTTTGACAGATGCCACGTGTGAAAGGAACCGATAGCGCCATTCGATATCGTATTTAAAAGGACAATTTAAATTTTGTTTTTTTTTAAGCAAGGTATTTCTTCCCCAGAACAAAGCCACGGATTGTCCACGCCCGATTAGAGACGCCACGAAGGAAGGAGGGAAGACACCGACCAGAGTTTCATTGGCAAGGCGGTCACATGATACATGAGGGAGGAGGAGAGATACCCAACAGGACCCCATTGGCCGAGAGTGGTCACATGATGTGCGAGGGAGGAGGAAAGATGCCCCACCAGAACCCCATTGGTCGAGAGCAGTCACCTGACATACGAGGGACCAGGGGAGCGGGTATACGCCCCCCCAGAGGCACAGTAAGGAAGTAGGAGGAAAGTAAGTTACCGAGCAATGGAAAATCCCTAATCAGGAATAATACGCCTTTAGAATTATCAAGAAAACCCTGGCGCCGACAGGCCCACCCCAGTTTTTGACTGCCTCAATAAAAGCAGGACCCCAATCGACAGAAATCAGTTGCAGGGCGGACGGCGAGAGAGAGTTGCAGGGCGGATGGCGGGCCCTGTTCATTCGCCCCTTTGTGGGCAAGGAAGGCCGGTCCGTTTGGCCCGGACAGGCAGAGAAGTTGCAGCGCTGACGAGTGGACAATAATTCAGACTCTGAAGCAAGAGTCAGTTTAAGTTGCAGTTGGGGTTGCGCCTCGGAAGAAGAAGTTAAGTTGGAACCAAACCAAGCCTAAGAAGAGAAATTCGCCCAACTCAAGTCGAAGTGAATAAATTCATCCAACCCAAGCCGAAGTGAATAAGCTCGTCCAACCAAAGCAGAAGAGAAGAAGTTAATTCGCTCACTGACGGCGAGGGAAATCAGCCGTGAACGACAGGTAGAGATCAGCGCCCAGTGTTGAAACCAAACCACACCCAAATGCAAATTTCTAGAGAGCAAGCAACTCAAGCCTTAAAGTTATATGGTAGAAGCTTGGTGCCACAGTCCACAAAACGGGTCGGGAGGTAGGAATAATCTTGTGTAACTAACATTTAGATATAAAAAAGTTGTTACCTTTTTCTTCAATAATTTTTGACCTTGTGAGTTTTTTTTTTTCTTGTGTGTTATCACCCCGTTGGACTCAGCTTGCATACGGCCCCAATCCCTGTTTGATCCCGCCTGTCTAAGATCTAATCAACAACGGGTAGGCAGACCGGAGATCAGTACAGTTACCCTAGTAACCAGGCGTTGGAAGCGAGTTGGGAAACGACGAGGTTGGTATTCATCTAACCAAAGGGTTAGAAACGTCACACTTGGAGCAGCGAGGAGCGAACAGCTGGCATCGCGAACGGGATCGAACGACACAGTCGACGCTGCGACCAGGGGGGACGACGTCACACAGCAATAACTCTTAAAGATCTGCCAAGAATGGTGAAACATAAAAACCAGAATGCAAATTTACTGTGGATGAACTAGCAATTAAAGGACTTTCCAGACATTTTCATCTTAGGGAAAAACCTCTTCACACCACTGTCAAATGAAGAAAAATGGTGAGGACATGTTGCAAAACATGACAGCCTATGCAAGACCATCATGCAAGGCACCATTGAAAGTGGATGCCAACACAAAAACTGGACAACGTCAAACAATGGACAAGTATGACTATACCAGAATTGCTGATGCATGTCGTTGACAGACGTGCGGAGGAGATTTAGTGCAGCTTCTGAATTCAGAAAACGATTACAAAAGTTAAAGGGATTATGATGATGATGATGATGATGAGAACTGACAACAATTTTGACATAAAAAATGCTACACTAATTAGAAGTGAATATAATTCACTAAGACAATAATGTCTAAAAAGTGCTTTAATTAGTAATTCATCCACAGTAAATTAACATCCGGGTTCTTAGGTTTCACCATTCTTGGCAGATCTTCTGTTATGACAATGTGCGATATTTAATAACAAAGATTATGGACACAAAAAGAAAAAAAAATCTAAATGAAATTGGCTTGATTGTACAAAATGCAAAAAAAAAAAAAAACACACAGCATCTCTCATTAATTCGCATGTGTAAACAAGTCCAGTCCAATGAAGTCCTAACAAAAGAAATGCATCAGAAAAACTTTTTCCCAATTTATCATACAACTTTTCTTTCAAAAACTGTCTTTGATATATAAAAATATGTATATATTGTGTATTTAAGCAGCAATCATTCATTTATACATGTTTACATTAAAGACGACAAAAAGCCAAATGCCCATCAACTGCAAATGAGATGAATATTCCCTTAGAAATATCATAAAGAAATACACCACCCCAATTGACCCAAACAAAAAATTTAAGACAGCTAACCTTATCCTCAAAAATAACAACATACCAGCAAAATTAAAATTACAACAAATGAATATTATGAGTTCAAATGCGCCCCCCCCCCGATCAAACTGAACTCTCATATAATTACATCAGTCACACTACTACATGCCTATCCAGATGCCTTACATTACACCTATTTGACCACAGCTCTATAAGAACCCATATAAACACACACATTTACCAGACTTCGTCTGAAACATACTAGGAGAAAATATAAGCATAATAATCTCATCCCCATGTTAAAAAAAAAAAAGATTAAAAATAATGGAAGCTCTAATAATGATAAAAAAAAAGCCAACACACAATATTATTAACTACAAACACATCTACAACTCTAGAAGCATACACACAATCCATACATCCAATTAAAAAGCAAAAATAAAATTATCCTTGATAATGGCTAAAAGTATAGCTGAGAGCACTCAGAATTACAGAACATTTAGACAGTTTCTACACACTCTTAGTCCAGAAAAGACAACTTGTTTGAACACAAGAAAAATTAAACAAAAAGCTTAATCGCAGTACCTTGTCTGTCATCTTTAATGACAACTGCAAATAGCGTGAAACTCAGGGTCACAAACTCACATCAATACAACTAAATATGTTAGCTCTATCACTGATATTGAGTGCTTAGACATTTCATGTTTATACATTCTTTTTATAGATACAAATATATAATGTCCGAGAAATTTTCATATTTTCAGAGGACGAATATTTTCTATGAAAATTTCTCAGACGTTCAGGCCAGTAAATGTTGTTTAATACTGTTTATTATAAACAGAGCATTTAGTTAAATATTTGTATCTATAAAAAGAATGTATAAACATAAAATGTCTTAAAATAATTGTCAGACTTTGTCCATTTCATAATGTGTGACATTATATACATATATATATATATATATATTATATATATATATATATATTATATATTATATATATATATATTATATATATATATTTATATATTATATATATATATATATATATATATATATATATATTATTTTTATAAAAATTTTTTTATAAAATAAGTAATTATATAGATATATATATAGATACACATTTCACATATATATTCGTTTCTCTTCTGGTGTTCTGTGAAAGATCTCAAAGCATAATTTTTTGAAGCATTTTAGACTCTCAGTAACACTGACCATCCTGTGAAACTATTGTCTAACATTATTGAAATTTTGTTTCTTTTTTTTATTTTGCGGCCCATTCATCCATTGCAGTCTATCAAATCAGCACAAGAATTTATTCATTACCATTCATCTCATATGACTCAAAAATTTCACAATATATATATAAATGTCTCATTTTTTTTAATAAAAATAGTGAAAAATATGACATGGAGAATGAGATGAACCTACTATAATGACAATGATTTTCTAAACATAGCTTAGATGAGGCGCAAGGCCATAAGTGTGAAGGAACCAGTGAGGATTGAACTCACTACTCAATTGTAACAATTACAGCATGTCAAAGTGCTCTAAAGACAGAAACAATCTGAACGTGATCACAATGAAGTTATCACACTCTGCTGTGTTGAGAGTTTTGTATTTGTATATATTTTTGTATGTTTTGCAACTAA